GAGCCGAGAGACCAGTTCTTAATGGATCTGATGACATGGAAGGAACAGCTTCAGCAGTCGGAGCAAGGCTCAGGTAAGTGAGGAGAAAAGCAGACAGGATCTGTCAGTCTGACGAGCTGGCCCTTAGGTGCAGGGGCCCCTCCCTCCAGCCACCTGAAGAGCCCTTCCAACAGAGGCTAGTGCTTCCTACTTGGAGGGATAGATTTTAAAAGGGTGCCATTTCTACCTGAGTGATGACGGAAGCCTTGATGGGCCGGATCTTGTTGCTCCAGGCTCCTGCAGGTTCCTGGGCACTTTCCAGGCCAGCCGCTTTTTCAGGAAGTGGAGGGAAGGCATCTTTGTAGGTGGGAGGGTCACTCTCCTCTTCCGAGTTTAAAGTAGCAACTGGACCGGCCAGTACATGTAAGAGGACACACACTACTATCAGCATTGTATGAAATAACACTACCAAGATTCTAGTGTTAACCCCACTTACCACCTCTTATCCTAACTCCTCATTTGCAGCAATGAGAAGGGTCTGCGTCACTGGGGCCAGCACCTCTATGGGTGTGTGCCAAGGGTGGGCAGGGATGCCCTTCTCCAACCACCCCTCCCCGTGTACACAGCTTCCTCTGTCCATAGCAGCTCAGACCCCTCCCGCCCCACTGGGGTGACCCCATGAAGGCAGCTGCATCAGAGCAAGTTTTCAGTTCCCAAAAGTCTTCTAATATCATAGTTAAAAAAAAAAAAAATCACAACTATGACAATGCCAGGCCAAAAGCAGGTCCTTAAATTTGCAAAATAAAATAATGGCACTGCCCAGCACTGCTTGTGAGAACCGCCTTAGTGGTAAACTCTAACTTTCCACTGTCATGTACAATGTTGAAAATAACTCCCATGGGAACTGCTGGCTCTGCTCTTCCTTAAACTCAAGGCAGGGAACAGTAAGATCTGTAGAAATCAGGTTCTCTAATTAGTAATCATTTTCATCTTCCATAGTGCCCTAAGTATTCATGATTTTTTCTAATAATTTTTTTTTGGGGGGGGGAGCCGAGTCTTACTCTCTCACCCAGGCTAGACTGCCATGGTGTCAGCCCAGCTCACAGCAACCTCAAACTCTTGTGCTCAAGTGATCCTCCTCCCTCAGTCTCCTAAGCAGCTGAAACTACAGGCACTTGCCGTAACGCTTGGCTATTTTTTCCATTTTTTAGTGGAGATGGGGTCTCACTCTTGCTCAGGCTGCGCTCCAACAATACTCCAGCCTCAGCCTCCCAGAGTGCTGTGACTAACAGGCCTGAGCCACCGTACCTGGCCTAAGTGTTCATGTTTTTGACCCAGAACCATGATCTCCATGAGAACAAGGGTATGACTGTGTTGGATAACCATTAGCCCCCAGGGGGAGCACTGTCTGAAAGGCCCAATAGATAACACTGTGGAAGGAAGTGCTTCGAAAACTGGGGGTGACAGTTGGGACTAGACAACCTATGTCCCAGTACCAGTTTACCACTTCTTAATCATGGCTGTGCTAACCCAGACAGCACTGATGGGACAGGTGGCTGGATTCTTCCAGTGCCATCTCCCCTCTCTAGAAAAGGAAACAACGCAGACTTCACAGGGCAGGTGGATTAAACAGGAAGGTTCAGGCCTCAGGCATGAAATAGAGCCAGCAACAGCCTCAAGAGTGCCACGGCCCAGCACAACACCACTAGCAATGAGCCTGCAAAAAGCAGCCAGTGTGACCAGGGAAGTGAATTTCAACTTTCAATTAATTTTAATTTAATACCTGATACTGGAAAACTTTTAAGAATGTTTGGAATAACTTGAAATAGAACAATCTTTCAAATGAAATTTTTATAAAATCTAAATACAGATCAAGAATTAGCATTCAAATTGAAATGTCCTGTTAACTGTAAATATACACCAGATTTAAAGAAAAAAAAAAAGACCATGAAAGTAGTCTTTTATCTTTTACATTAAAAAGATGTTGAAATTACAAAGTTTTACATTGGGGTTAAATAAAATACATAAAAATCAATTTTACCTGTTCCTTTTATTTACTATAGGTACCACAAAACTGTAAATTACATGTGTGGCTAGCGCTCTCTTCTGTACAGCACTACCCTTGATGGGTCTTTGCTCCAAGAGCATAGAAGCCAGGGCCTGTAGTCACCCTCACAGAGGGCTTGACAATGTGCTGGGACACTTCACAGCCCAGGTGGGAAACAGTGATTTTGAAAAGGATCACATTAATTACCATAGATCAAATTCCTCAGTTTTCCAGAAAGCTGCCCACAATTTAAAACTCACTATGTCTGACTGATTCCCTCATGCCCAGCTGACCCCACCTGCACACACAGCAGTGCTCTGGATGGGCAGGGCCTGCCCCTGACTACAAGGTCAAAAGTTACTTCTAAAAAGGGTTTGAAATTTGGCGAGGATTTGGAGGGAGCAGTGCCTTACAAGTTAACAAGAAGAGCACACAAAGAAACTGTCACCTTTGATTTGTTGTGGAACCAGCCCACTTCGATGTTCAGCAAAACTTTCTTGGGTCAAAACTGCAACAGAGCTCATGGCTGATCTCACACCTACACACAATCCGGTAAGCCACTAAAGCAAAAAGAATGAATCGAAGAGGGCAAAGAGTCAAAGTACAGCCAAAGAACAACTCTCAATTATCTGTAGATTAAGTCTTATCTAAGGGGTTTCCTGTCTTTTACCAGCCAACTACACCTTTTATTTTCCTCATAACCTCTGATGTAAACAGATTCCCAAATTCTCACCAAGAGATAAAAAGGGGAAAAAATGCAAGTAAAGGGGGGTGCCACAATAGGTGGTTAACTATCCTCTCAAAGCTGCCTATAATTAAGTGGGGGGGGGGAGCAGGAGGCCATGCGCACCACCCAACCAGGGTGTGTGTGGGGGAGAACACTGGAATGTGCTGCCTGCCAGGCTCAGCACCCAGCTGAGATGGACACCAGAATGACCCTCCTACCAGCCATTTATCTCCGTTTTGTTCACTTTTTCACCACATGCCCCTTGATGCTTACCAAAGACATCATGACTGCTGCTCCTAGGGCCCCAAACCCAACCCACCTCCTGCTCCCACCTGACCAGATGACAGCAGTCGGCAACAATCTAACAGGCCCAACTGTGCTAAATGCCCCTGGCACAAGGCAGGGCTCATAGCAGGGGGAAGCCAGCCCCAGGCCACAAAGTTCCTTGTTTAGGATGAGGTGACACAGATTCAGGGGAGATACTGACAGCCACAGCCCCCTTCCCTGGAGCATGGGGGCACTGAGCACTCCAAGGCAGGGCATCAGGGTCCTCTCCCTCTCTCCAACTCCAGGGGAGCCTCAAACTACCATTTTCTTTTCTTTTTTGAGACAGAGCCTCAAGCTGTCCCCCTGGGTAGAGTGCTGTGGCATCACAGCTCACAGCAACCTCCAACTCCTGGGCTCGAGCGAGTCTCCTGCCTCCACCTCCCAAGTAGCTGGGACCACAGGCGCCCACCACAACGTCCAGCTATTTTTTGGTTGTAGCCGTCATTGTTGTTTGGCAGGCCCGGGCTGGATTTGAACCCGCCACCCTAGGTGTACGTGGCTGGCGCCTTAGCCACTTGAGCCATAGGTGCCAAGCCCAAACTACCATTTTCTTCACACAACTATGCACTAAGTGTCTTATATCTTGGCAAAAAGTGTAAGAGGGCCAAGTCATTTATTATAGAGTGGCTTTTTAATATAATTTTATAACAAATGAAGCTTCTCCCCAAGTTCAAGAAAATAAGTTCTGCATTCCTAAAGAGAAGACCCAAATTCAGATAATCCTGAATAAACATAACTCATATTTAAGAAAACAAGACTAAAATAGATGGCAGAGGGACGGCGCATTTGAAGGGCACAGGTCTACAAACTGTCATGCTGAGGCGAAGTTATGGAGATGCCTCTCAGAGAGCCACGTGAAACCTGAGACTGCAATAGAGCAAGCACCCGGATCAGGAAAACATACTTCCCTGAGCTCCCAAACCCCACATGGCCCAGGGATAAGACAGGCAAACTTACCAGCAAAACGGTCGGTAGCCAGAAGGTCCGTCCTGAGGCCGCCTGTCAGCCTGCCAGCTTTTACTGGAGATAGGAAGAGGCAAAAGAAGGAGAAAAGCAGAGAGAAGTTAACTTATTTGTATTTTATAATCCAGATCTTTTTACCTCCTAAACAATACTGTTACTTAGGAAAGTTTTTTGGGGGGAGCCCTGCTTTTAAAACATTACTAACTGGAACCAGCTACAACTTTCAGAGGACAACTTTTCCAAGGACCCTTGAAAAAGGGAGTCCCTCAGAGGGAGTGATCCCCTGAGTGCTGACACTGCTAAATTTAACCATTTTGAAGTAAAATCCTCACAAAACTGATGGTGTTCTCTTGCCAAGCCAGAGAGGAGAGTGGTGCTAGGCTCCAACCCACAGCTGCACACAACATGCCCTGGGGGTTCCTGGGCTTTCAGGGTAACTGGGATCTGCAGCTCTTCAGACTGCTATGTGTATTTTGCATTTGCCTTGTTTTTCCTGCTGTGCAAATCCACAGGACTTAGAAACCAGGTCATAAAATTGTAGGATTGGAAGGAGCCTTCAAAGGCTGGCTGGGGAGGTCCAAGAACTACTCCATGGAGTAAGTGGGTGTGACGCATTTGCCTTGGGGGACTCCTGGATAAGTGAGGCTGCCAGGGAAGAGACCTGACTCTGGGTGTTCCCAAAGTGTGGAAGGTGGGCTATGAAGTGAAGCCTGTGCCTGACACAGCAAGAAGCAACAGCAGCCTCTGAGCACCCTGCTCATTTGGAGAGTCCCACTCAACAACCTCACTCACAAGACACGGGTCAGGAGCTGAGAGGAGCTCGCTGCAGTGGGGGTGCATCAAATTACGAGGTCTCATCTTCCCATCAAGACATGGATGAGTGATACATCAGGATTGTAAACCTGATCAAAATCTTTTAAAAACTCTAAATACAGGGTTGAGTCACATAGGAAATCTATTCCAAGCCAGAGACCAGAGCCACTCTGGAGTCCTGGACACACAGATGTACCCCAAGACTAAAGGAGGAAAACTAGGATAAACTAATCCAAAATAGTGCCAGTGCTCTAGCACTCTCAGAAGCCAAGGTGGGAGGATCATCTGAGCTCTGAAGTTTGAGACCAACCTGAGCAAGAGTGAGACCCTATCTCTAGGAAACCTAGAAAAAATAAGTCAGGCATGGTAATGGGCACCTATAGTCCCATTGGGAAGGTGAGGGAGGAGATCACTTGGGCTCAGGAATTTGAGGTTGCAGTGAGTTAAAGATAATGTCACAGCATGTCCAAATGGGTGACAGAGTAAGACTGTCTCAGAAAAAAAAGCATTGTCAAAAAATTCTAACAATCTGAAAGTTCTGAAGATTAAAGGTCTCTGTTAAAGTGTCAAAGTAAGCACATTCATAAGTTGGCAAATGCTCCTTCAGATTCCATGTATCTGGCCAGTCTGGGAGCAAGATGGGGTGCCGCAGGCTGAGGTGTCCCCACAGGCACCCCTTGCCCACCCTCCCCCATTCAGCCTTCCCACTCTGGGCTGCCAGCCCTCTAGCCTGGCGCAGTCTCCCACCTGAGGTGGTCCCCAGCTCTAGTGTCATTTCTTAAGCCCAGACATACACACCCTCATCAAGCCACATTCATCCATGTGAGCTTAACCACATCCTCAACCATGTCCTCATCTCTGCCTTGCCACTGACCATGCTGGCCAGTCCCTCTGCTTTCCAGGACTGGGAAAGCCTTCAGTGTCCAGTGACAGCCACATACAAGCCTGTAAAACACAATTACTGCCCACGTCAACTCCCACTGACTCTAGCACAGAGCTGTGACCTGCCAGTCCCCACTCTGCATTGAGTGGGGGTCTTGGGAGAGATGTCTCCCGAGAAGACCATTAACCTTTTAGAAGTCAATTCCAACTAGGCTTTTGCACTAAAACAGACCTCCACGTGAGCCTATGACCATGTCCGAGGGCACTGTGGAGCACAGCCTCCATGCTCCCAGGTGTGCATGGGCCTCAGGCAGCCAGGAAAGGGCAGCCAGTGGACCTCTAGAAACTCTAGACTGGTCTGACGGGATATACGGGGCCCCTGGCCTCCAGATTTCAAATGGCAGTTTGTTAGAGCTTGAAGCAAATGGATCACATACAGGGCACATATTTAACCTCTAGGGTTCTCGTATCATCAAACCAACTTCGTTTTTCTTCTAAAAGGTTTAACACCTTGTTTTTAAAGAACCCACTTAAAACATGTACCAGATGACCTGTGTGTAAAGGCAGACCTAATTCCCACCTGAGACTCCAGGGCAAGATTTGTCTGGACTAGCCTTTCCTCCATAAAGGATGCCTAGTCTCCCATCTCCTTCTGTGCCCCTAGTCCAGTGACGCCCAGCCCAGCTGAGCACCTGTCTGCAGTTTAACAAGGCAGCACCTGCAAAGCTGTCACTGTGCTCCCAGAGGTGCCTTCGCAGGTGGCACCCAGGGGGTTTAATTCTGCTCCTTCAGCTCCTTCGACAGCCCCTCCGCTCCTCACTCTGAGTTCTCAGGAGACCTTGAGCAAGCCCAGTTATCAAAGGAGAGAGGCTACACATGTGGTTTCTTAGGATCCAACCCTGATAATACTGCTCAAGTCAAGACTGAAAGAAGCACTAGACATTACCCTAACACAGGGTTTAAATCCACCAGGGACAAGAAAGTCCATAGTCTTTTGTGAAAGCCCAGGTCCACATCTGCATGGCTATAAACATTCTGCCTCAAGTTATAACAAATCTAAAACTTCCTTTCCCCTGGCAGAGTACAAGATGCCTCCAAGTAGGTACAGTCCTCTTTCCCACATCCTTCAGTTGCTGCCACGAGGCCCCCAGTCCCTTCAGCATTGTGGCTGCTCTCAACCACCTCCCCTGCTGGCATTCGGATCCCCCTAATGCAGACCTTGAGCTATTCTGAACATGGACTTTAAATTTTGTCTCCCAGAGTGTAAACGTGCACAGCAAACCCCTGACATCTCAGAATATAACGGCAGGAAACAGAACCAGGACTAAAGGAACACGGGGAAGCCCAGACTTGCGCCTGTGTGGTGACCTGGAATGGACGGACAGACGGACAGACATAGCAGAAGGGCGCCGCGCTGCCAGGCCAGCAGATCTCAGTGGATTCCCTGGTGGGGAGCTTCGCCAGGCGCAGGAAGTCCATGAGGTCGCTCCACAAACCTGCAGCCGAAACCCACATCTCCCTCCAAATAAAGATCGCTCCAGGCACAGAAAGTCCATTAGGACGCTCCACGAACCTGCAGCTGAAACCCACGACTTCTCTCCACGAATAAAGATCGCTTATTTTATCCTTAGAAAATTCTGCGCGGGAGTTTCTTTTTCAGTTTGCTCATGACCACAAACTCGACTTCAGAATGGAAAATTAAAATCCCGAAGTATTCGAAGATGATAAAATCTAGATCTCAGAGAGGCCCCAGGAGCGCGAGCGTCTGGCCAGCTCTGGAGTCGGGGCCGCAGGGAGGGACTTGCAGATGCCACCTCAGCACGGCCCTCCCACGGTCGGGCGCTGCGGGCGGGGACGGGCTTAAAGGGCCCGCGGCCCACGGTGCCGGCCTTTCCTCCAGAGTCGGTACTTTTCCGTAATGTCTTTTTCAGCCATGGACGCTGGGGCCCGTCCAGGCTGCGCAGAGACCAGGAGCCCGCCCCGCCCGCCCCGGCAGGTGGAGGTGCTGCGTGGCACCCCCTGCCCCGCCGCCTCCCGGGCGCACAGACCCCAAGCCGGGAACGCCAGCCGGCCGCACGCCTCTCTGGTCTGAGGGTGTCCCGTGCCACCAACCGAGCTGGGGGGCAGGGGGCTGGGCTCGCCCACGTCACCGACCTGGGCCCAGGTCGGCCGCCCCTCCCCCACAGCGCACGCACAGACTGGGCTAGGGGAGGTCTGGGCCGGGGCGCAGAGCGCGACTCTGAGACGGGAGACCCTCGGGGCGGCCCTGGATTCCGGGAGCGGCCCGGCCACAGGACTTGGGAAACTTTCTCCACTTCTCGGCGCCAGCACCCGGGCTCATGCGCAGTGCAGACACGTAGCTGGCCCCCAACAGCCGGGCGCCACGGGGACGACGGGGGCCGTAGTGGGGACTTGCGGGCCGGGAGCTACAAGCCGGGGGCCAGGGCAGCCCCGGTGCCCCCGCCCGACATTCCATTTCGGCGGCCCTGCGACCCGCCCGCCCGGTGCCCAGACGTCCCCGCGCCGCCCCCACCCCCGCGTGCACCCAGCCGCTCACTCGTGGCCCGTCCGCCCGTGTCCACCCGCGTCCGCCTATCCAGCCACCGCTGCCCGCCGTGCGGGAGAAGCCGAGCGCTGAGGCCGGCGCCCGGGCGGCCGCGGCTATATAGGGCGGCGGCTCCAATCCCGCCGGGACACGTCAGGCCGCCCGCCCCGCCCCGCCCCGTCCGCGCCGCCCGCCCGGCCGAGCAGCTCCGGGGGTCCTGCCCAACTCCAGACACTTCTGAATCTTTTCTGGAGGGCAGGGACGTCCAGAAGCGGCTGGGGAATCAATCACCTTTGGCAAGCCAAGCAGCGCACGCAGGAGCGCCAAGCTACGGCCAACCAAGACTGAAAAGGGAGCAGGAAGGACAGCCGTTCCAGAAGATGTCACCAATAATGCTTCCCCCCCCCCTAGAAAAAACCCAAACCAAAAAGAAACCTCGAAGGACCAACCAACATAGGGGCCCTCAAACTTTTTAAACGGGGCCAGTTCCCTGTCCCTCAGACCGTTGGAGGGCCGGACTGTGGGCCTTGGGACGAGTCGGCTGCTAAGCAGGGCAGGCAGCTACGGCAAAAACACCTGGCGCGCGGATAAATGTCCTAGGCGGGCTGCATGTGGCCCACGGGCCGCAGTTTGAGGATGCCTGCACCAACACACATGGTAAATGGCTGGCCCCAGCTGCATGCAGTGTCCAGCAGCCGGACACAGGCCCGCTTCAGCATCACACTCCCAGGGGCGAGGGTGCCACCTCATGCCCTCAGAAGTCTAGAAAGTGGATCCTCATTCCCTATCTCTGGGTGTTTCTGTTGCTTATGGCCCC